TGGAGATTTTATAACTGGTTGAATAAATTGAAGTATGGGATTTGTGAATAGAACAGGCATATAGGTTGATGCAACAGGAGTTGACTTAAATTTATGTGAAGATATCTGCTAAAGGGAACATTGTTAAATTGTTAATCTTTTTTTTTCCTTTCTCTTTTTTTGTGTATGTATGTATTGTGTATGCATTGTTTTCTGTTGTGTGAATTCTGAAAACTAATAAATATAATGGTTCAAAAAAAAAAGTGGCAATGGTTTCCTGGGAGGATGCCATCGAGCTGTGCCCACGTGGTGTGAGTAGCTCGGGAATGGCAGTGGGGGTGGTTGGAGCGAAGCGGGGAGTGCTGTTGCTCTTGGGGTCAGCAGGGCGATGCTTGGCATTGCGGAGAGACGGAGCGGTGCGGTGCTGCTCTCGGGGTCAGCAGTGCAATGCTCGAGCTCGGGATTGGTGCGGTGAGTGGTGCTTCTCGAAGACACTCGATGCTGGCAGCGGTGGTGATTTCAGCGTGGCAGCTCACGGTGATGTCCAGAACGTGGTCTCTGTTCCAAGAGAGATGAATCCCATCCTTGTTGCCAGTGAAAAGTACGCAGACAGAGAGTGATTTCAGTTCTGGCAGTTCTCTATCCATGTACTGTTGAAGCCTAGCTTGTAGGATCTTGAGCATGACCTTGCTAGCGTGTGATATGAGTGCAATTGTGCGATAGTTTGAACATTCCTTGGCATTGCCCTTCTTTGGGATTGGAATGTATACTGATCTTTTCCAATCCTGTGGCCACTGTTGCGTTTTCCAAATTTGCTGGCAAATGGAGTGCAGAACTTTAACAGCATCCTCTTCTAAGACTTTGAATAGCTCAGCTGGAATACCATCACCTCCACTAGCTTTGTTGTTAGTAATGCTTTCTAAGGCCCATTTAACTTCACATTCCAGGATGTCTGGCTCAAGGTCAGTGATTATACCGTCGTGTTTGTCAAGGACATTGAGGTCTTTCTTGTATAGTTCTTCTGTGTATTCTTGCCATCTTTTCCTAATCTCTTCTGCTTCTGTTAGGTCCCTACCGTTTTTGTCCTTTATCATGGCCATCTTTGCATGGAACGCTCCCTTGATTTCTCCAATTTTCTTGAAGAGATCTCTAGTCCTTCCCATTCTATTGTTTTCTTCTATTACTTTGCACTGTTCATTCAGGAAGGCCTCCTTATCTCTCCTTGCTGTTCTCTGGAAATCTGCGTTCAGTTGGGTAAATCTTTCCTTTTCGCCTTTGCCTTTCGCTTTCCTTCTTTCCTCTGCTATTTGTAAAGCCTCATCAGACAGCAACTTTGCTTTCTTGCATTTCTTTTTCTTTGGGATGGTGGTAATTGCTGCCTCCTGTACAATGTCACGAACCTCCGTCCATAGTTATTCATGCACTCTATCAAATCTAGCCCCTTAAACCTATTCTTCACCTCCACTGTATATTCATCAGGGATCTGATCTAGGTCAAATCTGAATGGCCTAGTGGTTTCCCCAACTTTATTCAGTTTAAGTCTGAATTTTGCAATGAAGAGCTCATGATCTTGTTTTTACTGACTGGATAGAGCTTCTCCATCTTTGACTGCAAATTATATAGTCAATCTGATTTTGGTGTTGCCCATCTGGTGATGTCCATGTGTAGCGTCGCCACTTAGGTTGTTGGAAGAGGGTGTTCGCTATGACCAGTGTTTTCTCTTGACAAAACTCTGTTAGCTTTTGCCCTGCTTCATTTTGTTCTCCAAGGCCAAACTTGGCTGTTATTCCAGTTACCTTTTGACTTCCTACTTTAGCATTCCGGGTGCCCTATGATGAGGAGGACATCTTCTTTTGGTCTTAGTTCTAGGAGGTGTTGTAGGTCTCCACAGAACCGGTCCACTTCAGCCTCTTCTGCATCAGTGGTTGGGGCATAGACTTGAATTACTGTGATGTTGAATGGTTTGCTTTGGATTTGGACCGAGATCATTCTGTCATTTTTGAGATTGTATCCCATTACTGCCTTTCGCACTCTCTTGTTGACTTTTTTCTACGGTATTTTTCTTTTTTCTATGGTATTTTTGGTCACAGTAGTAGATATAATGGTCTTCTGAGTTAAATTTGCCCATTCCTGTCCACTTTAGTTCACTGATTCCCAAGATGTCAATGTTCAGTCTTGCCATCTCATTTTTGACCATGTCAAGCTTGCCTTGATTCATAGTTCTTACATTCCAGGTTCCTATGCAGTATTGTTCTTTGCAGCATCGGACTTTCCTTTCACCATCAGACACATCCACAGCTGAGCGTCCTTTCGGCTTTGGCCCAGCCGCTTCACTCTTTCTGGGGTTACTTGTACTTGCCCTCTGCTCTTCCCCAGTAGCATATTGGACACCTTCCGACCTGAGGGGCTCATCTTCTGGTGCCACATCTTTTAGCCTTTTGTTACTGTCCATGGGGTTTTCTTGGCAAAGATACTGGAGTGGGTTGCCATTTCCTTCTCCAGTGGATCACACTTGGTCTGAGTTCTCTGCTGTGGCCTGTCCGTCCTGGGTGGCCCTCCACGGCATAGCCCACAGCCTCATTGAACCATGCAAGCCCCCTCGCCACATCAAGGCAGTGATCCATGAGGGATCATTACTTTGACATATTTCTTCCTACACTGTTCTTCCCCCAATTCAATCCAAACAAATGGTGACCTGGTGACCATATATACTTAGCTTGTTATTGCTGGTTGGCATATGTCAAAACATCTTCATTAACATGTATGCTAATTTGCTGTTCACCTATGTATATATGCTGTATATATGAACTGTTAACTTCCATTTCAATGTATCTGAGGAAGTGTGCGTGCACACAAAAGCTCATAGCTTGAAAAAAAACTTTGTTTGGTCTTAAAAGTGCCACTGGACTCTAACTAAATTGTTCTGATATTTTAAGTATTAGCCCATGTAAAAACACCCCACGGACAAAAAGCACAGCAGTGAGAAAAGCTTAAGTTTAGCTCTTTCCATGCTGTGCTAATTTTCCAGTTACAGTGTTAAACTGCAGTGCATTCTACCTCTTCAGGACTGTACCACCTCATTGTGCTACAGGAGAAGACCAGACTTTGGCTTAGCAATGCATATCCAATGTATATAAGTGAAATTTTGTCCCTTAAGGAATCTGTACAGATGGTAAGAGGGTCACTGTGATAGCTCTTCATTCTCACATACACTTTATTTTTTAAAAAGTTTTCTGTTTTCTATGCATGTTCCAAAACCTTGCAGAACATTAACACAGAGTTGGTTCCATTAAAAATTATGGGTAAAATCCATAGTGAATTTTAATCAATTACATTGCAGTGGAAACTACCCTGTTTATGCACTTCCTTCTTTCCTTTATGTTTCTTGTGTCTGTGCACAGCATTCAGAGTAGATGGGAAATACATACATGCCTCTCATTTGTGGTTGTACTGGTTGACTTGGGTTGGGAAGACCTGGATTGAAATTTGTATTATACAGCTCACTGGAGGAGCCATCACTCAAACCCAGCCTCATTTACCTCACAGCATTGTAAGGATAACACAGGCAGGAGCACTTTGCAGAAAGGGAGTAATGAAAATAGTTTAAATACAAACAAAATAAAAATAAGAAACATCCCCTGTCTGTTTCATTCCCATTTTCTCTGTCAGCACATTTTGGTTGGTGGAAAATAAGAAAGTTATAAATCACTAAAGACGGGCACAAAATAACCCATTTTTCCCTATTCAATTGCTTCCAGTAAGGGCAGGGTGTTTTTTTTTGTGTGTGGCAATATTCACCGGTTCTAAGCACCAGCACCTTTGGGGAGAGCCTCTTCCAAGTTCTAAGGTGTGTCTGGGTGGAACTCAATACAGACAGGTATAGGAGCTGGGCAACTTTTTTTTTTTTTTTTTTAACAAAAGGATGCTGGTAAAGGGCATCTTCAAAATATTGCCTTTTGAAAGCGTTGGGCTCTCAAAATGCTAACTGTAGCTGCAGGGGCAGATTAAGGCTCACTGGTGCCCTAAGTGTTGAGCATTCACTCCATCTAAAACCATGTTAAACTTGAGACCTCAGGCGGATTCTAATCTGGAACAACACCATTGGCTGAAGCATAATCTGTAACCAATGAAATGTAAGAGTCTGTGCTGGAGGGAAGACAAATGATTGGGTGTTATCTCTGTAACCTGATTGGATGTTAACTATGTGAGGGCGTGGCTACCCCAGCCCCGGAGATCTGTTGTTTGTGCCGGCTGTCCTGTTGATGCTGTGTGATCTTTGGAAGTTCTCCTTCTCAATAAAGCTTGTTGACCTTGAGTTGCATCCTTAACAACACTAAGCACTGACCCATCTTGGTGCCCCCCACCTTTCCACACTGACCCCCAGTCCATTTTAGTCTTGACCATTCTGACCAGATATGCAGTGCAGGTTGCAGCCATTCAGAAATGTATTCATAGGATCACACCATATACGGTACAAACTGAGCTTTTTGCCCTTCCCCCCCAACTTTGTGGTGCCCCCTTTGGCCCTGGCGCCCGAAGCACCTGCCTGGTCTGCTTCGTGGTTCATCTGCCCCTGTGTGGCTGCACCACGTCCTCCTCCCAGGGCCACGCTGCCTCCCTAGGGCTGCACTTCGCCAGGGCGCAGAGAGTCCCAGCCGGAGCGCTGAGTGGGGGGGCAATGTTCCCTCTAAGCTGTGGAGTCCTGTGAGCAAAAATTCTACCTTGCGAGCTCCTGGCATTAAAGTTGTGAGCGAGCGATTTGGCTCCTGCATGAATTAGTTTGTCCTGGAGCCACATCCTTCCTGAGCTGAGACAAAAAAAGTGTGAGCTGGAGGCTAAGAAACTGTGAGCTGGCTCACACTCACTCAGCTTAGAGGGAACACTGGTGGGGCAAGGCACCAACGGCTAGACCAACGGCGTGCCTGGCAGGCGGCGCCGCGCGGCCCCCAGCCGCCCTGCCCTCGTCTTCCCGCCCCCTCCCTCCCTCGCACCCAATCGACGGCGCCCTCCTGACCCAGAAGAGCCAATGAGCGCCCCGCGGCGGCGGCTGTGTGCCTTCGAGCTCTGGCGGGCTCGGAGAAGAGGCCTCTTTCTCTCCCCGGGGGCGATGGCGGCGGCCGGGCAGCTAAGCGCGGTGCCCGAGGTGGAGATCGACCCGGACGGCACCTTCAAGTACATCCTCGTGCGAGTGCAGGGCGAGGCCGGCGGCCAGCACCGCGATCTCGTCAGGGGCGCCGCCGCCGCCGAGTTCCACAGTGAGGAGGAGAGGGCGAGGGGGGGGGGCCCGGGGTGGGGGGGTGTGCGTGCACGCATAGGTACACATGTGCACGCACACATAGGGTAACGCGTGTCTTGTGTGTGTGTGCATGCATACAAACCTACACACAGTCTGCATTGAGAAACGGGCACCCACAGACAGATACGTCGCACGTATGCATGCCTGCAGTGCACACACGTGTGCGCTTTCTCAGTGTAGTCGCCCACACAAACTATGTATTGCGTTCATATGTCCATTATTTATTCAGAAAGTTTTTATGCCTGTCCTCCAGGGAACCGGCCTGAGGCAGCTTACAAAATGCAGGTGGTGCACATACCTACCTCTTATTCTGTAACTCCAGAATTAAACCCAAACAAATGGTAACCCTATAAACCAAGGTTGTTATTCCAGTTTGGTCCTTGCATCTATTAAGCACCATTTATTGTGCTTATGGTAATTTGCTGCTCACCCTCTCAGGGGTGTCAAACTCATTTGCTAGGAGGTCCGGATCTGACATAAATGTCACTTTGTCTGCTGGGCCATGTGTGCCATCAAATGTAACACAAAGTACTTTGTGTTGCATTTTCTGGCACTCATGGCCCGGCCCAACAAAGTGACATTTATGTCAGATCCGGCCCTCGTAGCAAATGAGTTCAACGCCCCTGGATATGAATGGAGTGGTAACTTCGATTTCAGTGTATTTGAAGAAGTGTGCGTGCCCACACAAGCTCACACCTTGAATAAAATTGTGTTGGTCTTAACAGTGCCCCCACTGAACTCGAACTTTGTTCTGATACCTTACTCTGTGTAATCCACCTTGAGTCCCGGTGAGAACGATGGACAATAAATAACATAAAATAAATACTTGCAGGCTCCAGCCACTTATGAACCGAGCGAGGGTGGCCTTTTCCTCTGAATACCAGACTAATCTCAGAGGGGTGGCTGTGTTATGTTGCAGCAAATATAGCTTTGAATAAAACTCCGTTGGTCTTAAAGGTGCCACTGAACTTGGATTGGAGTCTTATGGCAGTCTAAATACAGAAGTTCTGATTTCAGTATCAACTTTTGAGGATGAGCCCAGTTTTCCAGGTAGAATGCTAATATAGGAACTCCAAGTGGACTCTTCTCCAGTGCTCCCTCTAAGCTGTGGTATCTTGTGAGCAAAAATTCTACTTTGTGAGCTACAGCCATTAAAGTTGTGAGCAAGCAGTTTGGCTACTGCATACATTAGTTTGCTCTGGAGCCATCCTTCCTGAGCCGAGACAAAACTGAGCCAGAGGTTTGAAAACTGTGAGCTAGCTCACACTAACTCAGCTTAGAGGGAACACTGTGTCTTGGCCCTAAAAAATTATGATGGAGTAAAATGTTCCCATGTCATGAGCGGTTGCGGGAGTATGAGGTGTGTTCCCTTAGGTGTGTTGTGATGCTAGTGTATTGCACAAAGTGACTGTGCACCTCCTGTAATGCACTGGATTTCCAAAGCAGAGGCTATTCAACAGATAGATCAAGGTGGAAATGGGAGCCCTGTTGGTACAAAAGCTCAAAGGAATAAATTGGTTCTAAAGGAAGCTATGGGACTTTTTTATGCTCTTGGGCACCAGCATGTGTCTATGCCTGAATATTCTTTTGAGCACTAGAGATAACTCCAGCACTAGAGATAACTCCTGTAGTCATCCCGTTTAAACCTATATGTCCATGTTTTGAGAAGCCAGACTTGTTTGAGACGGGTAGAAAGTGGAGGCAAAAAAGAGAGCTTGAAAAGTTTGTATGGCCATTGAGAGACTGTGCAAGGTCTTTTGGAGATGGTTTAGGATGACTTTTATACTTATTTAAATATTTCTATCCCACCCTTCCTTCAAGGAGCTCAGGGACAGCGTTCTCTCTCATTTTATTTTCACATCAACCTTGTGAGGTAGATTAGGATGAGAAATAAAGACTGACCTTTAGTCACACAGTGAACGTCTTAAGAAGTTGAACATTGTAACCACTACCACACTGAAGACTCTGCCTTGCAGTGCAGACATGTGTTTTTCTAATACCATTAGTGGGCTCAGAAGGGTGTGATTCTATTTTGGAATTCTTTGGTAGTTTGTTACCCTGCATTTGACTTTGCTATAATATCCAGTGGTAAAAAGAACTGATATTAGCATTGTTGCTCTTGCGCACTGTTGTAGACTTCACCACCTTAGTTCTGTTTTTCTTGTTATTTCACACCAATAAAAAGGTCCTTTGCAATCTTATTTATTGATCTTCCCCACTATTATTCTCAGTTTACAAATGAAGAGCTGAGAACAACATGTCCATCCCATGAAATTAGGCTCTCATAATTAAACTCAGCTCTGTCCGCTGGATTGCTCTGTGTTTCTTTACAGTCAACCGGCTGCAAGATGAAAAACATTAGTGTTGCTTTTTAATAAACTCTGGCCTCAGTTCATACTTCGTTCTGGCACCAAAGTGTACAAAGGCAGTTTGTGTAATTAATATGGATGGTAAATGTCAAAGAAGCCAGAATTAATTGTAGGTTTTCCTACTGCTTCAGATATTTAAACTTTCACATAATTAAAAAAAACGTAATAGTGCTTTATCTTTGCAAGATAACTTTTAATACTAGTTATGAACTATTTTTGTTTTGCAGATCACATATTTGAAAAAATAAATCCTGAAATGGAGAAACTAGGGTTTGTATGCAAGTGCCTTGGAGGAGGAAAAATTGAGCATAATAGTAAAGAAAAGAAAATCCGTGTATTTGGTCTTTCTACAGTAAGTATTGACTATCATCATGACTAACATTGTTCACTGAGAGAGATGATGTGGGTGTCTGATAATTTAGAAAAATGTCCTTAGTAGTATTTAATGGGAGAAGGAACAAGGTAAGAAACATACTTTTGTATAGGTACGTTTCTGCCATTTATATATAGCTTTTACCAGGGCTTTTTTTGCAGAAAAAGCCCAGCAGGAACTCATTAGCATATTAGGCCACACCCAACAGCAGAAACCTATTAGCATATTAGGCCACACCCCACACCTTCCCTTGGCTTGCCCAGGCACCCCGCAGCTGTCTTCCCTCTGTAGCCATGCACGTGCAGAAGTTTTGGCTGTAGTGGGGGTGGCCAACTCTGAAGCCAGCCGGGACTCCGTTCCTGTGAGTTCCTGCCCAAAAATAGCCCTGGCTTTTACAAAATCAAAATATTGTTTAGTGGCTTAATTTATTGTATATTCTACTAAGAAAAGAACTATAGTTGGTAGCAAAAAGACATTATGTATAGACAATAACACTGTATTAAAAAATTCTCAGTTAAACACTAACAGAAGTCCTGTGCAGAAATCAAAGAGCTTAGACTCTGCATACGATCACACTATAAATCCTTTAATTTTACATGTTAAAATTATAATTTTATAGTAAAACTGTTGTAACAACTCATGGCAAAAAACTGCATCCTAAACAAGTTATTAGAAGGCATCTTGAAGATGTGCCATGGGTTCAGACCATAACTGGTTGAAGAATGGTTTGCTGAAGAAAATAATAGTCCAGCATCTGCCAATTTATACTGAGCATTATAGGTTATTAATAAAGAGTCTAGTTGTCCCACAACAGGAATACTTCTAACATCACATATAATTACAAATGCTATGGTCACTGATTTCTACTCAGGTTCCTTTTGTTTTCTGTCTCCTCTACTTCTGTACTTTCATTGAGAGTCAAATTTGTCTTCCTCAGGCTCTTGCAAATATGCCTCTTTTTGGTTGCTGCAGGGGTAATGCCATCTCCTTTCCCAAAGCTCATAGGTTGCCACTTCCAGGGACTGTCAGTAGTCTAATTTCTGGCAGCTCAAATACCCATAGGCATCCATGTGGAAAGGGAGCAACTAATGTTCTAGGAGCACCAACGATGCTGTGTTGGGTCTGAGATCAGTACATAATACTTGGAATCAGAGGTGCCTGCGTTGAATTATGTAGACTCCCTGTGATAGTTTAACAATGTAGTGCTCCCTGCCGTTGCTCTCCTCTTTGAGGCTGGATACAGAAAGACTTCCTGCCTACCCCCAGATCTCATCTGTGTTCCACAAACGTGTTTATAAATATTTGTAAGAAAGGATGTCTTGTCTTGGTGAAATTTTGAATAGTGAGAGATGTACATTTGTTTTTAAAAATAGCAACAGGAATCCCCAGCTGATCCAAAATATAAGATATCCTTAATTGAAAAGTTGATAGGAGCGTAGGCACCACCTTTCTGCTTTGAACAGGCAGAACCAGGAGCGGCATGTAGTCTCTCTTTCCTTGGGAACTACAGGTTGTAAATGGGCAATTCTTGCTTTTGTCTTTCAGGGATATGGAAAAGCTGATCACGCTGTGACAGTGGAACTACTGAAGAGAACCTATAAGGACTATGAAATTAGTTGGTCAGATGACAAGAAGTGAATCGCTGCTACGGTGTATTTTGAACTATGATGTCAGTCCGTTTTCAGCATAGCGTGGACTTACATCACAAAGTACAATCGAGCAAATTTCATTTTTGCTGAATAAAAAAACTTGAATGTAAAGCTGTTTGCAGTTTGATGAATATATGTTTGCTATTTTAAGACTTCGTTTTTACTCTTCAAGTTTTTGTTTTTCAAACCTTAACCTCTTAGACGCTCCTGATTATAGGATTGCCAAGTGGCCTGGAGAGATAAAAAATATTTTATGCCTTTGATTGAGACTTAGTATGTAGGAATGGACAGCTGAAGCTTTTCATGGCTTGGAGGTAGCATCCCATGAAGCCTCTGTTGAACAGACAGGACATTTCTTTTTGTTTCCTCCTAGCCAGTTGGCTACCCTACGTAAGGGTAGATGCGTATGTCTATCTGAGGTATTAATATATCTTTTGCTTTTGTATACGCACACTCTTGAAGATCGGAGTACATAAAAGAAACTTTGGCATTCTAGCTGCTGGTCTAGGTAAATGCCCAGGCGTGTTTTGGGAGAACCAGATTCATGTGGTCTCTTGACACTATATATATATATTGGGTTCTTCAGCCCATTCTGGTTTGCTGGCAGGAGAATTCTAAACTGATCTAGTCATCCTGTAGGGAGGGTGGGGCGGGGGGGACAGGTAGATTCTGCCTCTTTCAGTGGGAAAAATTTTGCAATTTAGAGCGCAAGACGGCAGTGCCTGGGTATGTTCTCAGTTGATGTCTTCAAAATCTGTCACCACCCATAAGTGGCCTTACAGTTATTGCCTAATGGGGACTCTTTCAGGTTAGGTTCATTGATGTAGGAACAGTTTAACAGGATACCTCTTAATCTTGATGCTTGTTTTCCAGGTTGCGTAGCATAAGCATCAACAGCAGCCCAGTTGCAAAGTCAAGAGAAGGCCAGGGGCAGTTCTCCCACAAAAAAGGTATTTGAAAGAGCAGATCTACATCCTTGCTTTGTGTAGACCTGAACAAGGTGCTGGCATCCAATAATTTTAAAACAAGAATATAAATGGAAGGATGCTACCTGTAACACATCTTCAGGGATTAATTCTAGTTTAGGGTTTAATGTAATTATTAGAATGTGCTAAGTACTCACTGTAATGATTTCATGTTTTGGTGTGTGTTTCTTTAAATGTTTAGTGTGACTGCAGTACTTTAAGGAGAGTGATAGAGGGAGGCAAGTGTGGTGTAATTGGCTGATGACTGAGAGTGTGGGAGGAGGGGGATTCTGTGTGTGATGTTGGAAGAGAGAGCATAGTCTGTGTGACTATGGGAGATTTTGAGTCTATTCTGTGTGAACAAGACTAACAGTTTAGTCTGTGTGAATATGAGTTTTGAGTCAATTCTGTGTGAACAAGACAAACTGTGTGGCTATATACATATATGAGAGAGAGAGAGAGAGAGAGAGAGAGAGAGATTAGACTAAGTGTCTATGCCTGTCAGAGTGGAGTTTTGGGAGTTTGAGAGACTGTGACACCAAGCTTTGCCAGTTATATTTACAAGTTCCTTTCATCAGCAACAGTTCAAATTAACCAGAAACCTATTTTGATCTTTATTAAATAAATAATTTTTTGTTTAAACTTATCCCAGAAATCAGAATAGTCCTTCCTCAGGGCCACATAGTCCTCTGAAGTGCCCAGACCCTAGGTCATTCTACCAAAAGAGAGATATTTGGAATTTTTAATTCCTGGTGGCAGCAGAAATCTACCAAGTTTATGTACACAGAGAGTGTTTTAAAGATTAAAACAGTCCCCCCAGTAAGAAAGGACCCCACACTCACATTAGACTCATAACAATTTTATAATCCACTTTGAATTTCAGCAAGAGCCCCTCTCTTGCTGAAACTCAAGGTGGATTACAAAATTAAGTAAGCAATTTTTTTCTGTTCCAGCGCTTTTGAATGCAAGGAAAAAAAGCTTGTGGAAAAAGTTGGCAGATTTTCCTTTCCTTGCCCATCCCTCAGCAACCTTCTGCAGAAATTTTCTTGTAAACAAAATGCATCGCGGAATATGTGAGAAGGGAAAATCTGGCAAAACTGCATCTCCTCTATCTTCCATGGACAGAGAATTTATTCCACCACTGGCCAAAGAGGGAGGAGAAAGCCATGGTGGCCAGTTATCCCTTCCAACTGCCCAAGAGGCTTCCTTAGGAAAGATCTGCTCTTTCAAAGGCCTAAATTGGGTTGTTATTTCTTATTTCTTTAGATAATGTTTATGCTTCTTCTCCAGGGAATCTGCTGGAGGTGGCTTACAAAATAAAACAGAATAAAAACGCTAAAAAACCTGATAGAAAACATCCAAACAGAGCACAAAACCACAGATTAAGCATCTTTAAATGAATACTAATTTTCAGACTAAAACATGCTATTAAAATGATGGTAAAACGTTTGCCTCTTAACCAGAAGCCTGAGTGACCAGAAACAATTTGGCCTGGCATCTAAAAGGGTGTGTGTAATGAAGGTGCCAGGCAAGCCTCAAGGGGGGGAAGGGTGAGGTGCCCCTGGTCTCTGGTTGCCCCCCACCTCAGCTCTGAAGGCAGGGAAATGGACCGTAGGGTTTCTGAGGCAGGCCTTTATATACAGTTCCTGTCATCCACAGGACTTGGAAGCAGTTCTCTTACTTAGATCACACTTTTCCCCCGTTACACACAGAAAAAGACAACTTTCCTTCCTGTCAGTAGCTGCCAAAATAACTGATGCCCCATTGTTGTCCTACTTAATTACTGGAAGCAATAAACCTATGCTGATTTTCTTTTAAGGCAGTTACATCCGTGAGTAAGATGTTTAGTGAAGATAAGGGAAAAGCTAGCATAATAGGATGGACTAGATGTAAAATAACTTCAGGGTTTTCAGGATGGGCCAACTTTCTATTTTTAGGACAGCGGGCCATCGGGCAGCTGTGGCGAGCTCTCCATGAAGACACTTCACAGCTTAGAGGGAACATTGGTCCCCACCCCCCAACTTCAGACAATGGTCCTTTCCACACTTGGATCTCGTCCCTGGTTATATCAGAGTCCAACTCGGGACACAATACCTTGCATTTATCCCTGGTTATAACAGTATCCGTTTATTCCAGGACAAGTGTGGGGCAAAACCGGGGTGACCTCAGTATAATGTGGAAACAGAAAATACTCCAGAGCAAACTCATTGATGCAGCAGCCAAATCACTTGCTCACAACTTTAATGCCAGTAGCTCACAAAGCAGAATTTTTGCTCACAGGACATCTTTTAAATTCATTTCAATCCTGCTTTCCAGGCTTGTTTTGGAACTGAAGTGCTTTGGTTCCCCTGTTGGACAGCCAACATTAGGAGAAAGATCAGGGGAATATGTTGCCATTTATTCTCCCAAATCAGTGATTTTTCAACCTATCAGCCATGATGATTGCGGTGTGGTGGTTGCAAGCTGTTCTGCTTCTGCACCATTGTCATACCTATGGTACTACAAGGCTCTGTTTTATCTCCCATTATATTTAACATCTACCAGAAACCCCTGGGAGAGAGCTCCAGAAAAATGACTCTCTAACTCGCTTTTACTTTTTAATCTAATCTAGTGGAGAGTCTGACTCAGTGTTTAGACTTTTAGGTCAGAATAAGCACTAGAAGTGGCTCCAAAAGCCGACTAGTGGCAGTGTGACAAGCACTCTGTTTTGTTTGTTCTTGGTGTTCTACATCACCTACTTTCCAAATTGTTTTCAAAGGCAGTGGAAAATATTTCATGCTGTAGCAATTGATCCAAGAAGTTCCACAGATGTAAATGACAGTTACTATAGATCTAGTCCTGCTGAAATCTAAAAGAGGTTTGGAAGTTGGGCTTATCTCAGGTTGGGAATCCTGGAAGCCAGGGGTCATTTCGTGGAAAAAGAGGTGCAGGAGCTCATTAGCATAACTCATTAGCATATGCCACACCCCCTGGCACCACCGGAAGTGTGTCAGAAGGCAGCACCTTCTGAAGCTCAGGCTTCACTGGACTGTTTTGGATTGCTAGCTATTGGGGGGGGGGATTACGCAGATCTGTCCTCGCAGAGGAGGGAGAGCTTGTACCTGAATTAATCTTGGTCTTAAAGGTGCCACTGGACTGTTTCGGACCAGGGGGCCGGGGGAAGCTCTGCAACTTACCTGGCTGCTTCTTGCTCTGACTGAGGGTTGCTGGGAGCAGGGGGTGGGGGTTGTTGCATGTGCCCGCCCCCTGGGCTTTTTACTGTCGGAGCTCCGCTCCTGTGCGCTCCTGCAGGAAATTACCCCTGCTGGAAGCAATTTGATAACATGGCCCTGACATGTTTTTATTTAGAGGGAAACTGTACATAATTAAAGGTTTTTAATAAAAGGTGCGCCTAAGAAAAAAGCCTAGTTAAAACGAAGTGGAGATCAGCAAAAAGATTGTACTTGCCATATTTTTGGTGTTTGAGAGAACAGTGCCAACCAAGAAGAGAAGTATGAAAAGGAGGGTAGGACCTGCCTCTCTTGACAACTCCTGTATTATGGTTTACTAAGAGTAAGGCCCATTGTGGGAAGAAATACGAGCTCTAGAAGGAAGCTCCAGGTGAGTGTCCTGGCTGTGGCTGGTGGGGCGGCAGAGGGAAGGGGAAAATAGAGGGAGGCAAGCCATGTTTATTTCCTTCTCCTTAGCTATAAGGCAGGGCTGTTTCAAGTCATTTTGCTGCGCCAGGTGGGTAGTATGGGAGGACAGCCTCATGGTAGCGGGTATGGTTCCCTCCACCCCTGACTTATGTTGAATTGTGGTTATGCAGTGGCAGCTAAGGTAGAAAAGCACCTCCTCCTATGCCATGTCTTCTGGGTTCCAAGGATCTGGAAAGCGGTTCCATAGCCAGTTACAGGGTTGCCAACTCTGGGTTGGGAAATACCTGTAGATTTGAGGGGTAGAGCCTGGGGAGGGCAGGGTTTGGGGTGCAGAGGGACCTCAGCAGGGTATAATGCCATAGAGTCCATTGCCCAAAGCAGCCATTCTCTCCAGGAGAACTGATCTTGGAGATCTCCAGGTGCTGCCTAGAGGCTGGCAATACTAAGGGGAGGGCCAGACCTGTAGAATTTGAGGGGTAGAGCCTGGGGAGGGCAGGGTTTGGGGTGCAGAGGGACTTCAGCAGGGTATAATGCCATAGAGTCCACTGCCCAAAGCAGCCATTGTAATAGCTGGGAAATTTTCTGCAGGGGAAATGATGTGCTGTGGCTGGGGAACACAGTGATTTCTGGGAGATCTCCAGGCCTCACAGGGAGATTGTCAACTCCAGTGACTGTTTAAGGGAAGATTGGGATATGTATTTTGGCAACTCCAGTGACCGTTTAAGGGAAAATTAGGATATCTATTTTACCTCAGGACACATTCAATGACTTCCAACAGCAACAACTGTTTAGAATGTTAGAGGCAAAGGCCAATCAGGCCACATATGCAAATGACCTCTGTGTTCCGACTGGCTACTGGGGGGAGAGGAACAGCAACCTGTTAAAGAATTTTGGAGGCAAGACTCAGGAAATGCAGCCAGTGGCTAGGGACAGCTTCTGAGTGACAGATCAGAGAGCAAACAGATTTGGGAGCGTGTAGAATGTTCAGGAGTCCACGACCAAAACAGAATTATTATATAGAGACCCTGAAACTCTTGGTGGTCTTTAAGGTGCGAGTGGACTCAAACCTGTTTTACAGTTGAGTCTGTGGTCTTTAAGGTGCGAGTGGACTCAAACCTAACTGTTTTACAGTTGAGTCTGCGTCATCTTGTTGGTTCACTGTTAGGTACTAGGGTGCTAAAGAACTCAGATTAACACTTGCCAGATTCTTCTGCTCCCGAAATAGCTGCAGCCTGTGAAATAGATAGGGATTGATAACAGCAGCTCTTAGCTATTGCCACTGCCAGCAGTGCTTCAGACATGACCAAGAGCATCCCAGGCCAAGCCCTTGATTTACCAAATTGAAGAGACCCCCATCAAGGAGTAGACCAATTTCCATCCTTTTGAGCTACCAATGTAGTTCTAGCCTGAGACCTAGGCCAGAGGAATGTTGAGATTATGTAGAACATACTGGAGGTACATAGCTCTTTACCCACTTCCTCCACAGAAGGCAAATTGGGTGTGGGTAATAGAGGGCATGATTATAGGCAGCATAGCCTTTTTGAAGGGGTCGAGCCATTCATAGTATGGCAAACTGATGTCTTCCTTTTAATTGTAATTAACAATTTTGTTCATAAAACCTGAGCATTCCTCTCCCTTTACTAACCAAATGGGTCAAACAGTTGTTGTCAATAAATGCTTGGCCAGTTCACTTATCAAATAATGACTGACATGAAGATCACCAAGGTCTTTCCACCTTACATCTCTTAGATGCACTGATTACATCCATCCAAACTTGTACAGTTTCTGTGACTTATGTAGACATGAAGTCTAGCATTCTAAATGTATAGGAGTCTAGTGGCACCTTAAAAGATTAACAGGCACAAGCTGTCATGGACTAGAGTCCACTTTATCCACTATAGTGATGTTCAGACTTGGACCTTGAATGGAAAATATCAAAAAATATTTTACCACAGGTGGCTGGTACAACAAATTTACAAGTGGTATACCTTGATTTATTTGGTGTAGAAGTCAACACTATTTTACCCTGCTTATTAACTACTTTGAAGTATTTAGCTAGGATTGCTTGAAAGTAATGGGCCAGATAGACCTTTATGCATTGATCACATTAGGTCTGTAAACAGCTGTTAGAGTGTATACATGGATCCCTGACGAATAAGAAGAGAAAAATACCAGTGTAAAAATAACACCAACCTCAGACATCAGGACACAGGGTAAGTAAGAGAATAGCTATAGTTTGGTTTCATTGGAAAAGCTTGTGGAAGAAACTGGTAGAACTGGTGTGTCCGCTCACTCCCCTTACCCTGACAATCTGCTGTTTACCCTGGAAATCCTCTTTAAAGCTTGAGAGAGGCTCACAAACAAAATACACCACACTAATGTGTGCTAGGAGGAGGAATCAGGTAAAGACTGCTGCATGCTGACTCTTCCACTGACTCCTTCCATGAGCTTTTCCAGTACATGCAACCCATCAGCTGGGCCAATTTCAATAAGTGACAGCAGGCAGCCTTTGAAGTTTACAAGAACCTAACAAAATACCCAGAAATGGTGTATATCCTGCATCAAATAATAATGAAAAGGAGATTCAAATCATATTCAGAGCGGACTATTTCATGTGGAGGAGGGCAAAAAGCTCCAGCGTTCTAGAAGGGAAAGCATTCAGATCAGATCCAGAAAAAGAGCCAAGAATGAGCCCCTAGAAAGGTGAACAAAGAAAACAAGGACATCTTTATTAATGCACAGTGTGATGAGATTATATCAGCAGGGATTCTTAAACACCAGTTCAATAATAACCCGTTTCAACCCCTTGTCAATAATTTTAACACTTCTAGAATTGAACACATTTTTCTTTTTGATGAATTCTGTAAAGGGCAGGACACCACCTCCACACCCAAAATAATGTGCTTTGCTAGCCAAATACACGCAGCCATTTGCTTTCAGCAATTTTGAAAGGGTATCGTGCAAAGCTTCATAGTAATCAGGATTGTAAATAGTTTCTGATGTGAGTATGAGATCATATTTTGCGAAGGGCGTATTGCTATTTAGTAAAAAGTTACTAAATCCTGACCATTCCCCAGAAAAGAACTTGCACTTAGAAATTAAGTCTTGGTTGAAGTCTCTTTTCTGGCACTGCTCTAGAGAAGGATCACCATTCTGACACACACAGTTTACCAGTACATTAGGTAGAGTTATCTCTTCAATCACCATGCTGTTATAGTCCTGAAAGTGCACTCTTTCAGCATTTCCTTTCAGTGCAGTGATTCCCAGCAGTCCAGCCCCACAACCCAGGTCCAAAACTACCTTATGCGCAAACTGAACTTCAGCTTCTGAAAAATAGTCCACGAGATCAAATGTGCATTCCCATATTTTCAGACCTCCTTCGTAGACACCAGTAATTAGGTCTGAGTGAGAAGAAATGCTTTTAGTCAATATGTTATCTCCATGGGAGTAATTTGGGAGTTCTGCCTTTACCACAGAAATATTTACATGGCACAGGCCCAGTAGTGTCTCTACAACTTTATTTTCTAAGACTTTACTGATCTCTTCAGGGACATTATGTTCCTTGGCAGCTGCAGGACTAGAATACTTCTCATGGCTTTTATTCAAAAAGCTGGGCTCTGCCACCTGAGCAGGCATTTCTGATAAAAGTTCCTCATTAAAAATATTTTCTTCTGAGGAAATGTTATTTCTCTTTTCTACCAGGCTTTCTTGCCTGTCCAGAAGGATTAAAGATTCCTGTACCAATTCTTGTCGTGGTTTTCCATCTTCAAGAGTCTCTGGTTTGCTTTCTGCTGTGTCTATCGAGAAGTTGAACTGAAAGGCCATTCTCATGTGAAACAGGTGCAAAAATTAGGGACTATCTCCAAAGTACAAACACGCAGAACACTGCTGGAAGAATGAGCTGCTGAAAGGCAGTTTGTAGGTTCAGTCTTTACTTCAGATGTCTCTTCTCTATAGTAACGTCTCTTCTGTTCGCTCTGCTAAGATTGCCTCTTAAATGTAAACGCATTTGCACTGCTTAAACAAACAAACAAACAAAATCAACAAACAGTAGCATCAATAAAACCCTAATGTGTTTAAGTACATCCTTGTGTTTGGGGAAAGGAGAACTGGAGGTCCATACCAACTTAAATCAATTCTTCCTTCACCTTTTAAAATGTGCATTTAGGTTCTGGGATAGCAAAAAGCTATAACAAGGAAGGGTAAATTGTAGGAAGAAATATAATTATTTTGTTTGGCATTCCTTCTCTAGGAAATTAAGAAAATACTATTAATTATACTCTAATGTTGTTTTGGTGTCATCCTTGCTTTGTTTTGGTGATGGAATGTCTGGCTAAGCATGTTCTCCCTTTCCCAGAGAATGTACAGTAAGTCAATAGCAGCAAAAAAGTTAAGCTCTTTGTCTGCAGAGGACGCTTGCGAGACCAAGTTGTAACACAATAGCCTAAAAAAAAAATTCCCCTTCGTCTCTTTTTGTCTTTTTAAAAATGTGTAACGTCCAGCCTGATGAAGAGGTCTGATGATCTTGAAAACTTGTACAACGTTTTGGGCCAATTTGGTTGGTCCTGATAAAATGCATTGCACGGATCTTGTTCTTGGACTAAATGGCAACCTTCGAAGAATCCCGCTGCTGCCATGGGAGTACAGGGCCAGAGCCCTTCGCATCCAAGAGGTCCTGCAACAGGGACATGCCTTAGAAGTAGGGCTGCCAGATCACCACTGTGGTGGTGGAAAGGGCCCTCGAGTCACAGGTGACCCCGTGGGGTTTTCAAGGCAAGAAACATTCAGAGTGGGTTTGCCATTGCCTGCCTCCACGTCACAACCCCTGGGATTCCTCGAACATCTTCCACTCACTAGCCAGGGCCAACCCTGCTTCGCTGCCGAGATCTGATGATGAGATCCAGCTCGCCTGGTCTACCCAGGTCAGGGCCACATCATCACCCTCAGATGGGCCCAATTGGCCAGCTAGTCCAGCCAGCCGGTTCTTTTAAGAAGGCCACAAGCAGCAGGGCACAGAGGTGACAGTTCATTCCCCCTCCACACACACCCCATTTGTCCCTCAGCACCTGTTATTCCGGGATATGGTGCCTCAGAGGAATTAGCTATCATAGCTTATCTCATACCTCCTCCTCAATCAAGGGCTCTGGGGAGAACACAAAACACCAGGATGAAGGGGGAAATGCACTACCTGCTGCTTGGCGACACATCCACTGCCTGAACCAGGAGCCGGCAAAATCTCCTTCCTTGCCAGACACCCCTTTTTAGTGCCACAAGCTCCCACACAGAGTCGACACCCTCCCCATCCCGTCCCCTGCATTCAATGTGCAAGTATGAAAAAGCAACAAAGGCCATTTTGAGTGTGCTTGAGCTTCATTTTTTTGAATGGACTAAAGACCACATGGATTTACAGTCGCCTCCCGGACCCCGCTGTACTTTACAAATGCCCGTGTACTATTTTCCCTGGAAACCTGAGGCTACAATTAGGAGTCTTCACCTGGGTAAGACTGGTGTTTGGGGTCTGCTTGCAAGCCTTCCTCCCCCAGGACCTTTGGTCAAATGCAACAAGTGTTAGGCCGCTAAAACGGCAATCCTAAAGTCACTGAAATGAATGCAGATATCCAGGACTGTAGAGAGGGTCGAAGGTTTTGGCTACAAGTTTTAGTTTTTAAACTTCCGTATTTTCCTCCAGGACTTCAGAAGGAGAATGTGTTTTTTGGGGGGGCGGGGGGGGCGGGACACACATGCAATTTTCTACCTGAAGATGGGTAGCCATGTTAGTCTGTCTGTGGCAGCAGAAAAGAGTCCAGAAGCTCCTTAAAGACTAACAACATAGGTGGCAGGGGAGGAGCTTTCCTGAGTCACTGCTCACTTCTTCAGATACAGCTAGAATGGGAGTCCATCTGTCCTTATATCTTGGAGAGTGGGGTGATTTCAGATGCCAAATCACAGCAGCAGTCTCCCTTTCTAATGTCCCTTTGAAGTTCCATTGTAAGAGCACTGCTCCTCTTAGGTCAGCCACTGAATGTCCTGGAAGGTTAACATTTCGGGATTAACTACAAGGAAGGACAGGGTTGCCCACTGGAAACAAGGGAAAACACTTGGAAAGCCCATTGGAAACAATGGG